ACACATTTCATTACACCAAATACACAAAATAATGTTATTTTTAGCAACATCATATGACCCCTTTAAATGAGTGGTTTTTTTTAACTGTAAACATGAAATGTGGAGTTATCTGCTTTTGCCAAAAAACGACTCTTGGAGTCAGGGCCAGCCCAGGCTCTGTTGGTGCCCTAGGCGAGATTTTAGATTTCCCCCACCCTAAAATAGTAAAATACTAAAATAGTCTAACAGACAACAAAGGCAACAAAATAAAGGCTACATTTTGTAATTTATTTGTAGATGTTAGCCAGCTAGTTAGTCTAATTAGCATACCCATACCTTTCATTTAGAATTTTGTGCATACAGTGGAAAATGACATACTTAAACTTATTTAATTATTTCATTTTATGAATACTAGATTATAGTCCTAGTCATGGTCTTTTTCAAAAGACATGTAGACTCTTTTTGGTGAATTAAAAGCAAGCAGTAATTCTGTTATTGACACCATAAAATAAAATTAGTCATACCATGAAATAGAATTTTGGTCATACTGCCCACCCCTAGCTTAAAGGTTGTAATTGTGATGGCTGTGACAGATGAGCAGAGGTAAATGTGGTACCTTGTCGTAAGCCCCTGGCTGCACGCTCCCAATGCTCCGGCCGTCCAGGTGAGTCACTGAAAGCAGATGTCGTTGCGCAGGAGGAACATATGATTCAAGAGTCTTCAGTAGCCAATCATGCCTGTGCCGATCCACCTCATTACAGTGCAGGAGCCCTAAGAGTTCAATTTTATCACAAAAAATAAAAAAATGGTAAGGTACAACAAAAAGTAATTTACATTTAAATGGGGTCAGTTAATGAAAAACTGATTTCCATGTACTATTGCCATGTGCTATGAAAATGTACTGTAAGTTTTAGAAATGAGTTTCAGTTTTAGTCACCGAGTCAAAGAAATGGAGAACAGTTCATAAGGCTTTGGTATTATATAAGGTATTGTAAAAAGTAAAGTATTGTGAAATTTTATTACAATTTAAAATAACTGATTTCAATTGGAATATGTTGTTAAATATGATTTATTCCTGAAACGCAAACCTTCAGCAGCCATTACTCCAGTCTTCAGTGTTACATGATCCTTCAGAAAACATTCTGATATGCAGATTTTCTGCTCAAGAAACATTTCTTATTATCAATGCTGAAAAACATCTTTCTGCTTAATATTTTTGTGGAACCTGTTATTATTTTCAGGACTCTTCAATGAAGAGTAAGTTCAAAAGAACAGCATAAAGATGACACTAATATATATATATATATATATATATACACAGTATATATATATAATATAAAGATGACTCGATAATAAACCTAAAACCCATAAGTAAGCATCGTTGTTTTATTTAACAAGACATTAGCCAGTATAATCATAGAAATCTAAAGGTAAAGTAGTAAATAACAGCATATTGAATTCTAAGGGTCGGAGAGTACAATAGTACTTAAGTTGTATAATAATCATTATCTTTCACTTTGACAGACTGGGACGATGCTGCGATCTGGTCACTTAATTTTAATGAGTAATATCCCATGAATTATTCCACTGGACTACACGTGAAATCCCACATTTCTCTGTCCAAATCTTAGCTCATGTCTCTCTGTCTATTTTCGCATAGAAGATTTAAAACTGGATTTTATGCCCTTTTCTTCACCTCAAATCCCTCCTGGCATTCTTAACTTTAAGAAGGTTATATTAAAAAAAAAGAAAACAGTTACTCTAAAATGTAGTACTATTTCACAATAATACAGTTTTTACTGTATTGTTAATCAAATTAATGCAGTCTTGGTTTGCACAAGAGACTTCTTTCAAATACATTCAAAAATCTTACCAACCCCAAATATCTGAACAGTTTTGCAATGTGCATTATTAGTTATGTCTCATAACAGATCATTTCACAGACATGAATCATGGCCCTAGTCCTAAGTATTTTGTTGATTGCTCCAGACTAGGTTTGAAACTTACCAGGAGTGAATGTCTGTAATATGGCCAGACTTTTCGCTCCAGGAGCCGCACAAAGATCAAGCACATTCTCCCCTTCCTTCAAGTTCAAACTCAGTACTGGGAGAAGAGAGGCTGCGTTTAGGAGGAAGTACTGTTTTAACCAGCCGGGGTGGTGGCTTTGGGTGGGAATACGCACTGGATCTTGGTGAATAAAACACTGCAGGGGGATGTGTGCCGTCTGGGATTTAGGATGTGTCTGTGGAAGGAGGTTTGTGTATCCAAGCTCTGCGAGCCACTGCTTGAGGTTTGTAAGGTCACTGAAGCGATTAAGCAGTACACCGTATTGCCATGACAGTGGATTCAAAAGCACATCCCTGAAAACATCAAACATTTATGTAGGCTGTGCAGACTAGTTCTGGGATATAATGCACTTCTGTAAATCAGGTAAAATATTACATTTCCAGAAATCTAATATTTACAACAAAAAAGTGCTGTGGTAAGGGTACCATAGTACCAGTTAGTGAAAACAAGATTTTTAAACCATTACAGTACTTTACAGAATGACTATTAATAAATAAATAAACAAACATATTTCATACCTTGCACTATGCCACTGCTCTCCAAGCTCTTCACTGTACTGTGCATCGAAATGTTTCAGGACAGTCTTACAAACCTTCTTCTGGGGTTTAGATTTACACTGTGCTGCAAGCTGTTCAGATGAATAACGTTAACTATTTAAACACGGTTCAATAATTACAAATATATATATTTTTTTTTACAAATAAAAATATTTTTAAAACATTTAAATACGAGAATTAAACAAAATTGTAATTAAAGCAAATGTTAATTGTTAAAAAATATTTAAATGTTCCTCATATGAAGTCAAACATATATGATGATTAGAGATACTTAATATCTTTATAGTAACACAAACCGCTCACTGTATTAGTGACTGTGCGTTGACCATGAGACAAGGAGGGCAAAACGCACTTAAACGATTTCAGAAAAAGAAGAGGGCAGCTGAAAAATCCTTTAATGCAACATAATTTCGTCAAAAGCATCGATATGGGTACACCGGTATTTCTGAGTCTTTCGCGTTCCGCGGTAGTGATGTGTCGTTCGCGAACGAGCCGGCTCTAAGAGCTGATTCTTTGTAGCGAACGAGAAGAGCCGACTCCCGTCGGGGAGAGCCGACTCTTCAACCGGAGCCTTCTATTTTAGGCCAATTTAGCAATTGTGAATGGTTTGTGTGTTGGTAAGCAATTTTTGATTTAGTGTTATAAAAAAAAGCCTTATTTTTATGCATTTTTTCGTTCAGCTCAGAGTGATACTAAATTAAGAGCCATTTGGGAGCCGGCTCTTCTAAGGGAGCCGAGCCAAAAGAGCCGAATCTTTGAAAAGAGCCGAACTTCCGATCACTATTCCGCGGTCCGGCTTCTTACTGGTTCCCCCAGAAACGTGTATTACGATATTTGTTCCGTTTTTCAGTGTTTACAATCGGTTTCCGTTTAGCGTCAAGTATTCATTTTTATTTTATTAATGTGTTATGGGGCTACTTCTGTTAGCTAAATATGGGGGCAATAATACATAAGCAAGTATTAGACCTAATATGTGTAAGCATCGTAATGTTTTTTTTTTTTTTGCTATATAGCAACAATGGAAAGGTCTTTCTATTACATTATGGTTTTTCTATTACATTATGATTTTCTTTTCTATTTAAATGCACATTTCTTTTAGAAATTTATATAATTATATACTCGGAACTCATGCAAGCCAAAAATAAGTCGATCCCTAATTAACCTTCACTGAAGGTTAACTCATCCTCACTCTCATCACATGGAAGAGCTAACTCTGCACTCTTCCTATTGGCCTTTCCATAAAATATTGCTGTATTCATTTTCTAAAAAGAAGAAATAATTTTGTTATTTACACATAAATTCAACTATACTATAAATCACTGCAATCATATTATTGATGCTACTATCTATAAAAAAAAATCACAATGGGGAAATGCATTGCTGCAATTCCACTGTGGTACAGTATTTTCTTAATTTACAGTAAAACTATGCTAGACAAAGTTAAATTATGAATAGGAAAGTCTAATTTACTTAACAAAGATGCTGCAAAAAAAAATGTAGAAAATCCCCCTTGAGAAGAGATGTTTAGAAATGAGGTTAATAGAGTGATTTCTGGAGCACTTCAACAGGTGTCTTCCGTGTGAGGGACATTCAAATGTCATGTGACTTAAAAACAGCACATCATTGTTTACCTTAAGGCCTGCCCTTTTAATTCCCATAGTGCAATATACAGGATTTTTTTTGTTTTTTAGAATAAAATAGAAATTAATTCTTGCCATATGCCAATTTTGTACCATAAAGGGTTAACTTTATTTCTGTCTTTTGATGTCATTGTTTACATTGAATACTTTATTTTATGCCTTTTCTTATGCATCCTTTACCTTAAGAATGTAACTTTTAAGAAAATATACATACCATCTTTACAGTTCATCTTTTACAACAATTTTCCACTGATAATTGTTGCCAATGTTACAACCCTTGCTTAACTTATGATATCAACAAACAAGGATCAAAAGCTTGCATAAGTTTTTGTTTTATCAGAATACATAGCTACATTTGAATGTCTGTCAAAGGAGAAATGTAGAAAGTGTGGTTGAAAAAAAAATGTTATAAGCATGATGGTATAAGCTACAACTGTACATTTCCTGCCTGGCACCACCCTCTGCTACTTATACCCAGTGATGGGAAGGTTACTTTGGAAATGCAATAGGTTGCAGATTACAAGTTACCCTATTTAAAATGTTATAAGTAGTGTAACTATTTCAGTTACTTTATTAAAGTAATGTAACGGATTACATTTGATTACTTTTCTCAATGTCTAATGTTTTCAACTGTTAGTCATTTTCAAACATTTAAACCAGGCAGGGTTAACATTACAGTAGTGCTGTACACCACAAACACACACAAACAACACCACAACCCCAATTCCAGAAAAGTTGGAAAGTTTTGTAAAATGCCGTAAAATCAGGAATCTGTGATTTGTTAATTACCTTTAACTTTTATTTGATTTGGAAAAGATTTCCAAAGTTTTCACTGACCAGCTTAAATGTATTTTGTAAATATAAACAAATGTTCATTTTGATGGCTGCAACACACTCCAAAAAAGTTGCGACAGGGGCAAAATAAAAGTGAAAAGGTTATAGAATATCCAAATTAAACTGTTTTGAAACAGTTTACAGTAAGCAGGTGAATTGGTAATGGAATTTAGGTATTTCACCAACTACCATAAATAATATTGTGGAAAGATTCTAGAGAAATCTCGGTCTGTGTTGGGCAAGGTGATGCCGCCGGGTTCTCTGGGCCAGAGCTCATCTCACATAGTCAGAAAGACAGTGGAAATGTGTGCTGTGGTCAGATGAGTCCATGTTTCAACTTGTTTCTGGGAAAAATAGATGTCGAGTTCTCAGTCACAAAGATCAAAGGGACCATCCAGACTTTCATCAGCGACTGATGCAGAAGCAAACATCTGTCACGGTATAGGGGTTGCAGTAGAGCAAACGGCATGGGTGACTGGAATACAGTATGTGCGAAAGTACCATTGACATGGAGGCATATATCGAAATTGTACAGAGACATATACTGCCATCAAGACGATGTCTTTCATGGGAAGTCTATGGTTATTAGATCAAGACAATGTCAGGTCTCATTCTGCATGTGCTACCACTGTGTGGTTTTGTAGATGCAGAATGAATGTGCTAGAATGGCCTGCCTGGAGTCCAGATCTGTCTCTCATTGAAAATGTATGACCAGACATGAAAAGGAGAATCAGACAATGACGATCATAGACTGCTGAGCATCTGAAGTGTTGTATCAAGTGAGATTGGACAAAAAATTTTGCTTGCAAAATTTTAACAATTAGTATCCTCAATTCCCAAATAACTAAACATTGTAATTAAAAGGAAAGTTGATGTGACAGTGTTAAACATGCCTCTTTTGGAGTGTGTTGCAGCCATCAAAATCGAAATTTGTTTATATTTACAAAATAAATTTTAGTTGGTTTAAATTTAAAAATTTTCTTTGTACTTTAATCAATTAAATAAAGGTTAAAGAGAATAAACAAATAACGTATTCTCGATTTTATGGCATTTCACAAAATGTCCCAACTTTTCTGGAATTGGGGTTGTAATTACGGTCAGACTTTCAAAATCCTTCATGACTTGAATGAAGAATATAATAATTTAATTTGAAAGCACAGCCACCACAAAATTATACTTACTTTGAGATCATATTGAGGTAAAATACAGATTTAAAATCATAACATGAAATAGTTTAATAGCTATGATGCTGTTTTTTTAAATCAAATCTTTGCATAGCTATGACAGGAAACACTGGATTCTAACAATGCCTTGGAAAACAAACAGTTAATCTTAAAAAATAAAGCATATACATAAACCCAAATAGGAAATAAAACAGTTATCGAATACGCATGTGTCCTTTTCTCTGTACTAAACTCCTGAAACATTGATGTCTCATATTTTAAAGCACTCACTGCAATTTATTAAGGAAATCAATTAAATCTGTATGTGGGGGTGTGATGTAACCCCCTTTGTAATCATAAACATTTTCATAAGTAACTGTAATTTAATTACACATTTTTTCTCAGTAACTGTAACTGATTGCAATTACATTTATTTTGTAATTAAATTACATAATTCTGTTACATATAACTAGTTACTCCCCAACACTGCTTATATACTTACCAACGAAGGAAATATATGCAATTAGAGTAGTAAAAGGTGGGAGAGCATTGCTAGAATGTCTGGTTGTATTGCAATCGGTAGCAAATTAATGTTGATTTTAAATCAAAATTTGTTTGCACATAGTTTGCAACAGAAAGCATTTAATAACAGTAGGTTACACTTGAAAGTGTTACAAAATAGATGCATGTGCTTTGAACCTAGAATGTACCACGTCTTTTATCCTTTCCTTGACCATGACTAAAATTAAATCATTCGAAATGACCAGTCAGCAGATTTCAGCCGTCCTCTCTAGGGGAAGTCATGGCCTAATGGTTAGAGAGTCGAACTCGTAACCCAAAGGTTGCGGGTTCGAGTCTCGTACCGGCAGGGATTGTAGATTGTAGGGGAGTGAATGTACAGCGCTCTCTCCCACCGTCAATACCACGACTGAGGTGCCCTTGAGCAAGGCACCGAACCCCCAACTGCTCCCTGGGCACTTCAGCATAAATGGCTGCCCACTGCTCTGGGTGTGTGTTCACGGTGTGTGTGTGTGTTCACTGCTGTGTGTGTGCACTTTGGATGGGATAAATGCAGAGCACTAATTCCAAGTATGAGTCAACATACTTGGCCACATGTCACGTCACTTTCACTTTCACTATACTGTGACAATTAGAAGACCACTGATGAATAAACATCTCATCCTAAAGGCCTTAATGACTATCAGCACCTCTGTGTCTTTAGGATTTCCAAATGGTATTTTTGGTAAGGAAGAGTGGGTTGTAACAAGGTTATCTATATATATAGATCTGATAAATAGATCTGAATTTATACAATGATCTGCTTTATCGTGGGCACACTATTTCTGCATTAGTTTTGATCTTGGTATGATATTAGTTTCCATTAGTGTCTTAAAACATTTTCATACATTCCTTACATTATTATATTATAATATTTATTTTAATAGGACTTTACCAGCATGTTGATTTCTGCAGCTTTCCTTCTCTTTGTGTTGTTTGCTGTAAATGGAGATTCTGAAAGTAAATGAACCAATTTCCTTTAGTTTTTGCATCTGTTCAATCTACAGATAATGAGGAGGTTTATATTTCCAGTTCAACTACTATATATTAATTGCTCCTTCTTTGCAGGACCTGGAGAGCTTATAATAGTCCCACTGACTGGAAGAAGTTTGACAGACAATCAGAGAAACATTGTGGATTTTTTTTTTCATCAGTTATTTAAGAAAGTGAAAATTTAATATATTCTACTCATAATATATAAACAAATCTGTTTCAAGCCTTTTTTTTAAACATTGACAATTACAGCCTACAGCTCAAAAGGGAAATAACAAATCTCAAAATATTAGAATATGTCATTTTGAGTTTTAATTAGAATATTTCATTTCAAGATTAAATTACTGGGTAGCTCTCAGTCTAGTTCAGTACACTCAACTGCCGAATTGACAGTTGTCCAGAAGATGATCATCGTCACCCTCCACAAGGAGGTATAGGCCACAGAAGGTCATCGCTGAAAGGGCTGGCTGTTTACAGAGTGCTGCATCGAAGCATATTCATGGAAAGCTAGGAAAAGGTGCACAAGCAACAGGGATGACCTTGGGAACTTGGAAGAGCTTCACAAGGAGTGATCTGAAGCTGGAGCCAGCGCATCAAGATCCATCATGCACAGACATCTTCAGGAAAAGGGCTACAACGGTAACATTCCTAGTACCAAGCCCCTCCTGAACCAGAGACAACGTCAGAAGCATCTTACCTGGGCTAAGGAGAAAAATAACTGGACTGTTGCTCAGTGGTCCAAAGTCCTTTTTTCAGATGAAGGTTAAATTTGCATTTGATTTGGAAATCAAGGTCCTAGAGTCTTGCAGGAAGAGTGGAGAGGCACAGAATCCATGTTGCTTGAAGTCCAGTCAGAAGTTTCTGCAGTTGGTGATGATTTGGGGTGCCATGTCTTCTGCTAGTGTTGGTCCGCTGTGTTTTATTAAGTCCAAAGTCAGCAAACCCATCTACCAGGAGATTTTAGAGTTCTTCATGCTTCCATCTGCTGACAAGCTTTATGATGAGTTTCCTTTTCCAGCAGGTCAGCACCTGCCCACAGTGCCAAAACTACTACTAACTGGTTTGGCTGACCATGATATTTCTGCTTGATTGGCCAGCCAACTTGCCTGACCTGAACTTCTTAGAGAATCTATGGCATATTATCAAGAGGAAGATGAGAAACAACCAACCCAGCAATACAGACAAGCTGAAGGCTGCTTTTAAAGCAACTTGGGCTTCAATAACACCTCAGCAGTGCCAAGCAGGCTGATCATCTCAGTGCCACCCCACATTGATGTAATTCTTGCTAAAAAAAATCTCGACCAAATATTGTGCATAAATGAACATACTTTTCAGAATTTGAACATTTCTGTATTGTAAATTCTTTTTTGATTGGCCTTAGGAAATATTCTAATATTTTATTTTTAAGATACTGGATATTTGATTTTCATGAGTTGATTTTTAAGCCTTCTTGTAATTAATCTATAATATATTAAAAAGTTTCATTTTTTGATTTAAATTACGAAAAATGTATTTATTTATTTGAGATGCACCTGTATGTAAACAAATGAATGCTCTTCTACTGATAAATACAGAGTTCTGGCATGAAACTCTAGATGGCGCAGTCCGATAGGTCTAACTCAATCTAATGACATCGTTATCATATGGCACAGCTGATTGGTTCTCTCCTGTATCGGTAGCCAATGAGCTCGCTGCTCAACATTCAAATATATGATTAGTGCTTGCAGTAGCAGTTGCACCTAGTGGTGTGCAGAGCGAGGCTTCATGAAACACTGAAACAGTCGAAGCAAATGTGCCGAGGCTTCGAAACAATTCGACACCTGTCTCTACGGTGACATCTAGTGGTCATTTTGAAGTATTGCTCTGAAACAGCATTGACAGCGAATCAGTTAAGCGAATTGACGAATTATAGCATATATGTTGTGCTTGGGTTTACCAAGCACAACATATATGCTGAGTTGGGGGAGTGATTAGTGTGCACGACTGGCATGTTGTCAGAACCTGTCACTTTAGGTTCGAATCTGGGTGAAGCATAAATATAATTATAAAAAATACTTGAAAGTTGTGTTTTTATTGTTCTGTTCTTGTAATGTGTTGTAACAGCTCTCTGACAACTGAATGAACTCTTTGTGAATATGTTATTCTGGTCATGAAAAAAATTACATTAATAAAAGACCACAACGCCTGGCATTTTTTACATATAAAGATTTTTATTTAAATATATTAATTGTTCTGCTGCATTAACTCCACTTTTATACTTTGCGGGAGTTAGGTTAAGACAGATGTGCGATTGAGTGGTTTGTTCCCGACCTTGTCAATCAAAAGCAGATTCGGGTCTCGAAACATTTGTGAAACTCCCCGATGATTTGTATTGCCTTAGTCACGTGACGTGGGTGTTTCGAATCACACTTCGGAGCAGTGTTTCGAAACATCTGCGCTTCGGGATCTCGACACTGCGTCAGCCATCCCTAGTTGCAGCTTGCTACAGAAAACCTTCACCTTCCCCAGCTCCACCTGTATAGATCTGCTACGAGGTGATTCATGTACGCTATATGGGTGTTATTTCATGTATGTTATATTTGCAGCAGCAATATTTCTTACATGCTCACAGCAGCGTGTTGTGGATGTATTGGCAGTAGCAAGTCTTGGTACTTACTCTGCCGCAGCAGCAGCAGCGTAGCAGATCTATTCCGCCAAGACCAAATACATTAACATTGTCATGTACGTGCCAATCCCTCCGAGAGTTGTCGTGACAAAAATAACTATTTGAAAACAATGTGTTAACAGCAAAGGACACCTTACATCGGTCCACAAACCAATCATTAACAATTTTCTTAAGACCTTTGTGCAAAAACAAGCTCCTCGAATCAACAAAATCTGGATTGGTGGTCATTATGCAACTCAGGCATTTTTTTTTTCTCTTTAAAATATTAGACCAACGTATCATTATATACAACTCAGTATTACAGGTGATACTAATACTGCTAACATTGTTGGCAATTGTGTAATAATGTTGGAAGAATTGCTTTTGCAATTTAGATTTGCTGGAAAGGTGCAAGCTGCAGTAATCGTCTTGATTTTGTCTGTTACAAAATGGTTGACATAGCAATAATTGACTGGTCAATTATCTAAAATCTCATATCTGACAATCTCAGATTTCCAAACTCTTCTCCAAATCATACTAAGTGTAACAAACATACTTGTCCTGAATTTTTATACCATACTTGCATATATATATATATATTCAACCTTTTTCCTTTTGCCATCATACAATGAACACAGTTCAGCTGCCTAGTTGAAAACAACCCATGATACCATGATGGTGTAGTTAGGGCATCTACCAGCAGAGGGTGATGCTTTTTTTTTTCTTCCAAAATGTGTGACACTGAGATGTGTTGAGGTAGAATGAACATAACTGAGTAGAAATTGTTTCTCTGAGTCGAAAGCCAAAAATTATAAAATACGATCTTTATTTCTTAAGAATCTGATTTCTGTTCCACCTGTGATTTCCTTTTGGAATAATTTGTTTGTTAACCTTAATTGGGAAAAAATCTGCTCTACAGCAAAAATTCTTTCTCACAAAGTGAAAGAACTTTCTTTTAAGTTCATACACAGGTTCGAATCCTGTAAAGAAGTTTATACAAAGATTTAAATCTGACATCGAGCTAACATGCTCTTTTTGTTCGAATTCTGAAGAAACTGTGGTACACTTATTTTGGTCATGTCACTACACTCAGAAGCTTTGGGATGATATTGGTGTGTTTGTCAAGTGTAAGATTTTGCCAGGCTTCTCAGTACATATGAGAAACATTATATTTGGGTATTATGACTCAGACCCCACAAACGAAAATATATGTTTTGTTATTAATTTAATATTTTTTCTAAGCAAATTTCACATTCACAAATGCAAATTTTCCAACTGTAAACCTGTCTTCCTAAAAGAAATGGAAAATTATTTGAATGTAATTTCAGTATCTACTAATAAGAAAGCTTAAGAACTGTTAGGATTTGCTCTGCCTTTGATCTCTTCATGTGATCATGTTTAGATGATGACCCTCTTACCTTTATTTTTATTTTATTCTTTTTTTGTGCTTTGTTTCTATTTTTATTTTTGTGGCTGATATTATGTGATGTATGCTTATTCTTCTGTATGTTCCCGTTCTCTGCAATAAAAAAAATAAAAAATAAATAACTGAGTAGAAATATACATTTTTATAATATATTTAATTTGACATTCATATTAAATGTGAACTGGGTACAAAAGAAGCAGGTACTGAAAGCAGAGCAAACTTGATGAAACGTCAACTAAATATTAGTGTGGGGGTAAAATACAAAACAAAACAAACAATGTGAAATATAAAAAAAATGGCAATAGCATCAAATAAATATGCAAGCAGCATTTACAATATATGACATCATACATTAAAATATGTATATATATTGGAGGTTGACCATTGTTACACCTACAGTGGAATCTCTTATCTGTAAATCACGAAATTATACTCATCATCTTTCAGAATCTTTTGCTCCATTAAAGCAAGATGTACTGTATGTGAGAATAAAATGCTGTTTCAAACTCAATAATGAGCTTGCACAAACATTTCACATCACATTCAAAAGTTCACCTTCTCACGAGCTCTGTATATGCTGCTGGTGCTATTTGAGAGTATGAATGTCATTCTCAAAATTAAGACAGCGTAGTGTATAAACCTATAAATGCTGCTGAGAAAAAAAGACCATCTGATACATTAAAGGCAAAGTGTGTCACAATTAACTGCACATTATATATGCACAAGAGCTTAAGATATGTATGTGGACCATCCCATAAAAACATTTTTGTACAATTTCAAGTACACAAATTTAAACTTTGATGTATTTGAATACATTTCAATTCTCTTAAAAATATGTCTGTGATATACTTTCCACAAAAGAAGTCTCAATTGAGTTTCAAATGTCTATTAATACTGATTTTAAGTATTTTGATCAAAATAAGACAAACAGCTCTAAAGAAAGTAAAATATTGAACCGTTTTAAATTTAAGCACATTATCTGAACAGTGAATGTCCTTGTCCCCCATCTCAGACGTTGCTTGAGGTCATGTGATCCACCTGGGTTTGTCGATTGGGTATCAGTTCCTCACTTATGGGCAATCTGCATAGTTTGCTACACTGCCCGTGCTTGAAGATAAGAACAAAACAATACTTTGATTGGTTGGGACCCTTGAGAATTGTAAACCAGTCAGGGGGGAAGCAGAGGTAGTGTTAGGAAATTACATCATGAGTATCGCTGTTCGGCCTCTGCCTAATTGCTACAGGTGGGAGAGGTTTGCCATAGAAATCTGCCAATGAAAGAGAGTAATGGAAAAAAAAAAAGATTTAGGTCAGCAATGTCCTTTTTTTTAAAAAAGGATCAGCTAACTTCTACTTACTAAAAGGTTACACTACATCATTAAATTAATAGATCAAAATGAGACACTGCCTGGTTTAACATTCAGAAGAGGACATAGAACATTACATGCAGCATTCAGAATGCCCAAAATGTTTCCTGTAAGCATCAGGAAAACAAATAACACACATTAGCCACAGCGAAGGAAGTGAGGTGTTAAGGAGATCATGCTAGTAGCATTTATTAGGCACAGTATCAAGGTGGATGGTTGTGGTATTTCTTTTGACAGATGATTGTACAGGAAGGATGTGGCTGAGGCTTGCTGTATGGATGAAGAGAAAAAAAGCTTTAAAAACAAAATTATGGGAGACAATTACATGGTTAGGAAACAGAATAGGGGGGAAAAGAATGTTAGTGATGCGCTTGCTGGTTGACATGCTGGACGGGACAGATGGCAATGAACCAACAATTACCAGAATGTCTTGTATCTCCAAGAGGCTCAAGTTTGGGGAGCCTAGAAACTTTAGGAGTAGCCCATCCAACTAAAACAAAGAAAAGTTTTAGCTGTGAGAGTCATTAACATGAAGCAACAAAAGGAAAAACTAGGCCAAATCGGTGGTTAAAATGAGACAAATCTGGCAAACATTTGACTATGAAAATCCAACAGCAAATGATAGAAAAAAAGTTTCTCTGACTTCCTTGAAGTCTTGTGCTGCAGAACATATACACCACTGCAATGTGTTTACAGCAGGCCTGCAATTTACTATAATGCATAATTAATAATCTGCTTAATTAGGTTAAATTAAGTATTAATAATATATGCTATCAAAAGAAAAGTTGCAAAATGCAAATAGATGTAGAATGTTCCACATGAACACACACATTCCCTCTTCTGAACATAACAGTATTTTACTATGCTTTTTCCTGTAGTTATATTAAAGCTACACAATGTAACTTTTACGGGTTAAATAATAAAACAGCATGTTCCTCCTGAAGAATGCCTTTTTTTTTTTTTTTGGTTGTGCTTTGGCTTTGCTCCTCTGCACAGATGAATGTGTCTCAAAGCACCAGTGTACATATGAATACAGGACATCTTATACAAATTGTATATTATACAGATATACAAGTACACTAACCACAACCAGAGCTACCAATCATTATTATATCAGTGTATTTCGGTAATGACATTGTTTGGAAAATTGATTTTTTGCACACTTTCATTATAGCATTTTGCCTTAATGGGAAAATAAATGGGCTGCTCTTTATTTTTATTGGGTTTCAATTATTATAGGTAATTTAAAACCTAAACTTCATGTACAACAACGTTTGATTGCACTCCCTTTGGCATGCATGTGTTGCACACCTCTTGGCATTCATGTGCAGCCTATGAAATATCAGAAGTATTTAAAGTTGAATGACTACAGCTACATGCATGGTACAAGGATTAGTTGTTTTACAAAATGGAAATATTTGCATTATAAGAACCGTAATATTACAGTATCATGTTACATAACAGTATGTATATGTATATGTATGTCTTGATGAAAACCTTCAAAACACAATGAGCACAAGCAATCTGTCAAAGCAGCTGGCATGGCAATGAGGCCACATTAAACTGTATTCTTATGGCGTTCTTTGAAGCGTTTAATATAAAGTGCTCTTGTGCTTGTGTTGTACAGTTTTTTTCTGCTGCAGCTCAGCCCCTGGCCTCAACTATTTTTCAAATGTGTGTGTGTGTGTGTGTGTGTGTGTGTGTGTGTGTGTGTGTGCGCGTGTGTGTCTTTAAAAGGAATCCTTATTCCTATTGCAAATGGACATCACTGACAAAGGTCCTCAGTGTAAAGACTAAAGACCGTTGTACATTGAAATTTTATCAATTAGTTGTTAATGTCTGAGAAACAAGTTGTAAAAGACACATTCCTACCTGGCAAGGGAGGAGGAGTGGGGCTTTTGGGTGCTGCTTCTTCCACTCTGAGAGGGTCGACTCTGTGCTTACGTTTCAATCGTAATTTCCTAGTTTTCTTTTTGGTCTGGTCCACTGCTCCTGATCAAAAGTGACAGAGACATTGAAATCACTTCATCCACTCCAAGAAATCGCAGAGGTAAATAGGTTCTTCATGCATTATAATAGCAAAAGCTTGTATTTGAAATGAACTGACAATAATATAATAAACCTTTACCCACTTATTACTCTTGGTGTGATGGAGCCCTTTTGAGGAATACGAGGTACTACCTGATTCTGTGCTCTCCGGGGTCTGTCTCTCGGTCTCTTCATCCTCCTCCTCTTCATCATCCTCCTCATCTTGAAGGACTGTCTGTTCTTGCACACTGCCCAGCTCGCCATTTTCTCTCTGTCTTTGCATCTCTTTCTCTTTGTTTAATCTGTCTTCATTCTGGGATTTTTATATGAATTTAGTATTTATATCTTAATGATTTCATCCAACGTGCATTTAAAAGAAACATTGTGATAACTAACCTCATTAAAAACATTGTTTATTGGCTGGAATGGGTTGAGCATGTTGACATCATCTAGCTCCTCCTCTTTCAATGCCCTTCCTTCTTGCTCTGCCTCTTCTCGCTCCTGTCTGTCTCTGTCAGTAAAAAACATTGTCATCAAACTGTTGTTTGCATTTTGAACACTGTAAAGTAATGAAGAAACGAAGTAGAGACAGGTCGTTTCTTCATTATTGTGACATACATCTGACAAAAACAGATAATCGAAAAAAAAAAAAAAAAAATGTGGGGTGGTAGGGCTGAAAACATCATCAGCAGCCATTTAAAAATGGATGTTCCCCAGAGTTCTGTTCTGAGCCCTCTTATATTCAAATGATTGTGAGCTTTTAGTCAGTTGATCGAGGGGCAAGGTTTAAGCAGACTAAAAGATCAGAGAAGTCTGACATATGTCACCAGAGAGAAATCTACCATTTACACCAGAGGATTGAGTTTAGATTAAAAATTATGACAAAAAAAAGAAAGAAAAAGAAACACATACATGGATGAATCTTTCACAATAATATTTATATTTCGTAAATATTTCATATTAAATTTATATTTCATGCCAACTTTAGTTCCTTTGCAGTAAAACATAGAAAAAAAAACAATTTGAAAAACACTCAAAGTGAAAAAATAAAAATAAATAAAAAACTGATATAAATGCAAATAAAACCAGCTCAGTTGATATGAAATGTAGTCTAGTTCTGAAATTATTATCTAACTACTGTATACTATTTTCAATGACTATGCCACTAACGTCATTGACTCCTGACCAGTGTTGGACAAGTTACTCTGAAAATGTAATCAAATTACTGATTACTGATTACTCCTTTTAAAAGTAATCACGTTACTGTTCTGATTACTTTATTTCAAAAGTAATTAGTAACTGGTCACATTACTAGTTACGTTACTTTTTTCTCCATGAATTTATGAAATCCCAGCATACACGCTCCCGATAAATATTTGTTATTAAAGCAACAACATTCACAGAACACTATCATTTTTAACTAAAGCAAGCGGCTGCTGCATGCATGGTTTGGCATGGCAGAATGCCAGCAAAGAGCGCTGCATTTATAATCTCTAAAAGACATCTCAGTTCATCGCAATCTCATAAATCTCTGTTAAAACACCATAAATATATGCATAATGAATCTTTCATAATGTCTACAATTCGTGTGTTATAATGAGAGGATTCGTGAGCACGCAAATTTCAGCACTGCATTGCTCAACGCTGCAAACACGTGTTATAGCCTAAATAGAAAGTCTACATACGCTTGAACCTGTTAATCGGTTATATTTTATATTAGTTCATGTTGCTTTTGTGCAATAGATGAATAACAATTTATTTCTTTTAGATATTTTATGTTTAGATATTTCTATTTTGCGGGAGTCCCGTGAATCATTTTATTCTCCCGCATCCCGCACACACACGAGTGTCTACCCGCCCGCACCAGCGCTCGCCCATCTTGTCCCGCACCGCACTCTGTTGCGTCGGGTCTCGCGGGAGCAGGTCTCTAATCCACTGGCACTTGACTCGACAGTGCGTGTGCTACATCCTTTTTACAATCTCTAGATTATAAAACACTGCATTCTGTCAGCAATGTAACGTGGCAGTAACGTATAGAGACCTCGGCTTGTAACTATACTCTAATTACTATTTTGAAAATTATAATGCGTTAAATTACTCCGTTACTAAAAAAGTAATCAAATTACAGTAACGCGTTACTAAGTAATGTGTTACTGCTCCTGACATATCTGGAAAAGAGGGATCAGCATGACAATCTGAGTGAAAAGTCTTGTCAGCTCACTGACCTCTCCTCTCTGATCCGCCGGACTCTCTCTGCTCTTTCCTTCTTGTCTTGTTCTTCCTGAGCCTTCTGCTCAGCTGTATCTTTTTGCACACGTTCTGAAATTGCCTCGTAGTCCTTGGCAATGTTATTCAGGAGCCAGTTAAGGCCATTCTTGATGGATTTGTCAACCTTCTTACCATAACCCAGCACTGCAGAACAGGGTTCCTGAGAGTAAAGGAAACAATGTTTAGCTCAGTTTTATATGAATGGTTTGCAACATCTCTGCCAAAAGAATGTGATGAGTTTGATTAAATTTTAACCAGTTAAAAGTAAACAATAAATAAAGAAAGAAAAATTCACAGACTTGGGGTTTCCTCTTTGATTAAAAACTCAAACCAGACTCTGATAAATATAAACTGTGTTGAAATATTAACTCACAATCTGACAGAGGCATTTATTCTCGTTGACAAGCTTCTCCAATGACAGGGTCTCAATGATATCTGCTTCAGCCAATGCCCCATCTTGGTCCTGTTTATTAGCCAGTCTGCAAGCCAATTAGAAGGAAAGAGCTGGTCACTAGGTGTGCAGGTCACTAGGTAAGCTGTCACAAACAAATGACCTGAGGTCTGCTAACTGAATAATTAGCCTTGTGTTAAAGAGCACTCTTGACTTATTAGCACACTTAACACGCTATATTTAGTCAAGGACTTCATCTGCTGCTCACTCCCTCAGTTAATTGGACCCACTGCAGCTTGTCTAACGCCCCAACAGATATACAGATGATGTATTGCACATTTATTGCACACCGCCCTGTTCCACTTGGACTACAAGCAGGAATTATGTAAGGATGCGATGCTCTTCACTGATTACAGCTTGACATTCATCAAAGTCTCCAGGCTCATCAGCAAACTCAAGGTCTTCGCTCTAAACTCCTTCATATTTCTGACAGGCAGGCAATGTTGGCGAGGGAGGGCTGTAAACATTATCAGCAACCATTTAAAAATGGGTGTTCCCAAGGATTCTGTTCTGAGCTTTCTTCTATTCTCCCTTTTAAAAACACAGCTCTGCGGTTTTAAGCAGTTCCAACTTCATCATGGTTTTTGCTACTGTGCTGACACAGTTTTGGTAGGTCTAAGGCCAGTTGCATAAACTTAGCCTCTATGTTAAAATTGTGTCTTAAAGGGTTAGTCCACCCAAAAATGAAAATTAGCCCATGAATTACTCACCCTCAAGGCATCCTAGGTGTATATGACTCTTCTTTCAGACAAATCCAGTCGGAGTTATATTAACAATTGTCTTTGATCTTCCAAGCTGTTTAATGGCAGTCAGCGGGTGTTGCAGTGCATCAGTCTAAAAGAAGTTAAATAAAGCGCATCCATCCATAATATAAAAAAGTCCCTCACACGGCTCCGAGGGGTGAACAAAGGCCTCCTGTAGCGAATCGATGCGTTTTTGTAAGAAAAATAACCATATTTAAAACGTAATAATCAATTTAATCTAGCTTGCGCTCACTGTTGTAAACGGAAGCAGCTCCAGGCGGATGACGTAGGACGCCGGCGTTGCGCATGAGCCGCTCATAAGTGACGAACGTGGAAGTGCAGGGGAGAGATCAAAACAAAACAATGGTCACTAATTACAAAACGAGGATTTGCAAAGAAGAGTGTCGGAGGATTTCGATATAAGCCAAGAGGAGACTGGTTTTCCTTTGCTAAAGTAAGGAAACTTTGCTTCCTGTACAAAGCTCCTGTAAACAAACGTTGGTTTTCACAAGACTCACCGGCACATGCGCAACGCCGACATCTTACGTCATCCTCCCGGAGCTGCTTCCGTGTACAACTGTTGGCACAAGCTAGATTAAAGTGATAATTAATTTTGAATATGGATATTTTTCTTACAAAAACGCATC